CATATATGCTGTATACATAATAAATAAATAAATCTTTAAAAAAAAATTCCATAAATGGAAACAGAGAAAAAATACAGGTGATCGGATACTTACGTCTAACTTGAGTAATTTTTCAATAACAAGTTCCAGGATTTCACGCCTCAAAGTTGGAAAATACACACTTATCCTTAGTAAATTATGAACATAACATTCCTAAAGCATGAGACATAAAAAGATGAACAATTCAGCACAGTATATCAGGACATAAACAAAACATTAATTATGTAACTTTAAATACATGAATAGAAAAGGGACTATCAGTTCAGAAACTGCACTGTACAAGTCTACATATGTTAAGTGTATTTAATCTAATCACCACCAGTAAACGTTTTCTACTTAGTAATACACTATTACCCTCTGGTAACTTTCTTTCTTTTTTTTTTTTAATTTATTCATTTGTGGTGATGGGAATCAAACCCAGGACCTGGTACTTTCTAAGCGAGCACTCTGCCACGGAGTTACATCTGCAGCCTCCTTGGTAATTCTTATGTGTGTAAGCATTCAACACAAAAGATATTTCTGAAATGGATTCTGACCATGATCAACCTACACACAGTAATAAAATGGTACTGAGAATTTCAAGGAGTTACTAGCTAAGAAAAGAATTAGACACTAGGAGCAGTAGCTCACACCTATAATCCCAGCACTTAGGAGGCCTTGAGGCTAGCCTGAACCACAGATTAGGACCCTGTTTAGAAAATATAATAATGAAGAGAAAAGAATACAAGAAATGTTTAGCCTTCTCTCTCTCTTTTGATTTTTTTTTTTTTTTCAGACAGGGTCTTATACTGTAGCTCAGGCTCACCCCAAACTTGAAGAAGTCCTCTTGCTTAACCTCCCAAGTATCAAGATCACTCTGGATCACAGGATTATACCATAACCTCCGTAAAACAAAGTCTTGAGTTTAAATCTAGAAAGGTATTTTTAAGATAGTAATAATAGTAGTAGTAGTAGTAGTAGTAGTAATAATAATAATAATAATAATAATAATAAAACACCATCTAAAATAAAGTCACAAAACAATCTTTCCATGAAAATTTTCTTACCAACGTTCTCTCTGATTTTCTCACAAATGGAAATTTGTCTACCAGTATTGGCATTAGAAACCACGGCGTCCTATTTAAAAAGAAAAAAAAAATCCAATCCACGTTAGCTGGACTTTCTAAGAAGCTAGCATTTCCATCCTATGAACAATGAGGACATAAGAGGCAAAAATAGAACCCTAATTTAAGCAATTAAAGGCCCAATCAAGGCAGTTTCAGAGAAAAATCTAAAACAACTTATGTAAAAATATACTTTATTTACTATGTTAGTAACATCAAGTCAAAAGACAGGCTTTTCTTCTATGAAAGATTAACAGACTTCAGCTTAAGACCATGTATCAGTACACAAGTATACTAATTATAAAGAGGCAAATGTCATGAACTTGGTATTTTTTTATTAAGGCAGGGTCTCATGTAGCCCAGGCATCAAACCGTGTGTAGCCAAGGATGACCCTCAATACCTGATTCTCCTGCCTCTACCTTCCCAACTATTGATGTTACACATATACAATACTCCATCCCCAGCTTCCAATTTTTAGTTAACAAAAGTAATATTCTATACTGCCAAAGAAACCCCCAAGCTTGCCCTGCTTTGTGATAACCACATTGATCCCCATGGCACAGTGTACATACAGTTCTCAGTGAAAGTATTTGGATATCTTATCTATTGAAGATAAAAGCAAAATCCCAACTTCTGCACAAGAGAGGTAGAAGCATTGTGTGTAAATTAAATATAAGTTAAATAGTTAAACAGGCGTGAGGTGACTCAGGTCTGGCATCTTCTGGGTTTCAGCTCTACTACACGGTAAGGTGGCAGAAGGGAAACTACCAATAGATGTCCTCTGACCAGCACCATACCCACACACAAATGAAACCTTTAAATAAGTTAATAAAATAACAAACATAATGAACAGAAAACAAAAACAGAATTTGCAACATGTGTTATTAATACAATTGAAAAATAGCAATATAACCCAATTTTTAATGCTATTAACACTTGTAGCTAAAGTTTTTCTCTCTGGGTCCCGCCAAGCCCCAGCAGTCCCATAGCCCACTTATAAAATAAACATACAGACACTTATATTATTTAAACTGCTCGGCCGTTAGCTCAGGCCTACCATTGTCTAGCTCTTACTCTTATACTTAGTCCATTTCGGTAAATCTATATGTCGCCATGTGTTCCGTGGCTTTACCTGCTGCCTTTACATGATGCTCCCTGGACGGCAGGCTGGCATCTCCTCCTCTCTGCCTTCCTGTTCTCTCAATTCTCCTCTCTGCTAGCCCCCCCTATACTTCCTGCCTAGCCACTGGCCAATCAGTGTTTTATTTATCAATCAATCATCCACTGCAAACACTCTGTAATCTACCCGTCATCTCTTCCTTCCAGAGCTGTGTACACACATTATAGTGACCCACCAGAACTAAGCCCCAAACTGTTAAACTAAACAAAAAGGAATACTCACGATGGGACATATCTTGTTATTATTTGCAAGGCTCTATGACATGTGTCAAAATTTGCAGGAAGATCTACAAGGAAAAACTTGAAAGTATGAACATTGAAACTAAAAACTGCAAAATCATGTCCTGAAGGTAAAAACACTTTCTAACCAAAACTCAGTAACTGATCAGAGAAATAAGAATTGCAAGGTTTGCTGGGAAGTGGTGGCACACACCTTGAATCCCAGCACTTGGGAGGCAGAGGCAGGCAGATCTCTGTGAGTTCAAGGCCAGCCTGGTCTTACAGAGAGAGTTCCAGGAGAGCAAGGGCTACACAGAGAAACCCTGTCTCAAAAAACAAACAAGCAAAAAAAGAATTGCAAGGTTTGTCTCTTCAACCAACAATGAGTATTAGGTGGATTAATTATGTGACACCTACATAGATTCTTCTAGAAAGAGCTAGAGTTTTTAGCTGAGCATGACAATGTATGCATATAATGATAACACTCCAGAGGCTGAAGCAGCAGGATTGCTATGAGTTGGAGCCCAACCAGAGGCTACAGAGACCCTACCTAAAAAACAAAATAAAATAATGGGGGGGGGGGTCCCAGGATTTAGCTCAGCAGGTAGAGTGCTCACCTAGCATTTACAAAGCATTGAGTTCAATCTACATAACAGACATGACAGTTCACTCTCATAACCTCAGCATCAGGACGTGGAGGCAAGAGGATCTCAAGTTAAGGTCCTCTTTAGCTACGTAAGTCCAAAGCCAGTTCAAGGACACATAAGGCCCTTTGGAGAATGGAGGGATACTATTTATTTTAGTATCACACTTAGAGTGGGTGATTACACACTATGAATGTGTCCAAAAGAGTCTATAAACCTAGGAGTGATGATTCACGCCTTTAATCTCAGCACTCAAAGGCAGAAAAGGCTACATAGTGAGACCCTCCCTGTCTCAAAAGACAAAAAAAACAAAAAGATTCTATCAAAGGCTATCATTCATTGCTGTCTCCTCGTGAGACTAAGTGGTGAAACATCCTTTAGGACACGTTCTCAAAGGTACGTCTGTCCACTGCTTTAACACTTCTCTTTATACTTACTATCATCCTCATCGTCAGAGTCTGAAACATCTACGCCACCGTCCTTAATGATCACTCGGGCTTTGGAGGAAAAAGAAAATTTGTTATCTAGTCTGTCATAAGCAAAAACAAGGTAGAGAAAATTTTAAAGGCTGAGGGCAGGTGGGCGGGTGGGGGCCTGGAAAGATGGCTTAGTAGTTATCTTCCAGAGGACCTGACTGCCAGCACCCACATGATGGCTCACAAATGCCTTTGAACTCTAGTTCAAAGGGATCTGACACCCTCTTCCAGCTTCTTTGGGCACTATACACAGGGTACATATATATACATGTAGAAAAAAACACACACACCAAAAAAATGAAATTAAGAAAGTCACATCCACATCCATATGCGTCCTGCCTATGACACCCTGTGTCATCACAGGGCCCTGCAAGCAAAGTAGCAGCCATCCAGAAGTGGCATCATGACCTTAGACCACAATGTGAGCCAAACAAACTACTCTTTAATAAGGAAGGTAGCTGGGCAGTGGTGGCACACGCCTTTAATCCCAGCACTCGGGAGGCAGAGCCAGGTGGATCTCTGTGAGTTTAAGGCCAGCCTGGTCTACAGAGCGAGATCCAGGACAGGCATCAAAACTACACAGAGAATCCCTGTCTTTAAAAACCAAAAAGAAAAAGAAAAAAGAATAAGGAAGGTAAGGGCAGAGAAAGCAAGTGAAAGCTAGGGGAAAGGAAAAAGAAAATTCATTTTTACAAGCCAAGAATAACTACTTACGAGGTACAAAATGAGAAGCAATCATGCTGAGACATGGTCTAAGGAAGACAGTTTGTGCTGACACAAGATTACCAAGAAAAGCCAAATACTCCTCCACCACTGTCTGACTTCTCTTCAACCAAGGCAATCTCTAGAGATGGGAGAGGAAGATGATGCAAGAGTGAAACATATATATATATACACACACACACTGTTTTCAAAGTACTAAACTATCTGCTCGTCAGTGAAATAAAATGAACTTACCAATATGATGTTTATAAGTTGCTCAAAGTCCTTTGTCAAGTACATAACAGAGGAGCGAAATTCCAGCAGCCAGTTAATGATCTGGTCATCCTTAATTTAAAACAAAGAAAAATCATAAACTGTCTAAGGTTACAGAAAAATAATGGATATACTTTGTATCAGTCATCTATCAATAAAATGTTTAAAATCAGGGAAACAAATACGCTCCACTAAGATAGGTTAGAGAGACTGGCCATGGTGTGCACTCCTGTAATCTCAGCATGTGAGAAGCTGAAGCTTCAACTTCAAGGCCTGAGCTATATACTGAGTTCCAGACCAACCTGACTTATATACATTTTAAAAGAAAGAGCTAAGTGTAGTACAGTACAGTTGGAGACCCTGGATTTGATGCCCAGCACTTCCTACACAAGCTAGGTAACTTGAGTCTGATCACCAGAAGACTGGAGAGATGGTTCAGCAGTCAAGAGCACTGGCTGCTCTTCCAGAGAACACAGGATCAATTCCAATCATCTACATAGTTTCTCTATGTAGCCCTGGCTATATAGACCAGGCTAGCCTCAAACTCAAGAGAGATCTGCCTGCCTCTACCTCCCAAGTGCTGGGATTAAAGGCCTGCATCATCACTGCCCGGCTTCCCCCTGGCTTCTTTAGGCACCAGGCATATACACTGTGCCCAGACATACACATAGGGAAAACACCTACACAAATATAGTAGTAATAATTTTTTTTAAATCTGAGTCCACAAGTGGTCCTTACATAAGACCATATATACACTGCTGTATGTATGCCCATACACAAAAATTAAGTAAGAATTTAAGCTTTTTAATAAAAAAGCGAATCAGCTGCAAGGCACAATGGCACCTGTCTGTAACTCCAACATTCTGAGTCCACAAGTAGTCCTTGACTTACACATGCACACTGCTGCATGTGTGCCCATACACAAAAATAAATTAAGAATTTAAGCTTTTTAATAAAAAAAGCAAAGAGACAGAACCCTCAACATGGACATGTAGAGGATGTTTAAAATCCCAACTATAGCATAAAACAACAAAATGAAAAGCCTGATCTCCTGGTCAACTCTACAGTGATCACGTAAGTGAGGAATGCAGTGAGACCACTTAACCAGACCACTCTGTGGGTAGAGAGAAAAGTTTACTGGGGGAGCAAACTGTTGGGCTGCCTCTGAGAATACAGGACTGTAGCCAGACTTTCTTTGAACCACCAGCTCCCAAATAATGACACAGAGACTTCTTTTTTTTTTAATTACACTCATGATATTCATTAATTACACTCATAATATTAATTACATTTGTGGTATTCATTGATTACATTTGCATTATTCATTCAATAATTGTATTTATGATATTCATTAATTACATTAATTGTATTGGTTTATTACATTCATGATATTATGTCCTGATACTACTGTCCATTTGTGGGACTTTTCTATCACACAAAACAGAGATTCTATACTTAGGAAATCATTGCTCTATATTCCTTTCTTCTCCATCTTGAGATAACATCTAACTTTTCTGTCTCTATAAATTTGTATATTCTATATATTTCATGTAATACAAAATAAACAAATTAATTAATTAAATTATTATTATTATTATTATTAATTAATTAAAAGCAAATCAGCTGCAAGGCACAGCGGCAACCTGCCTGTAACTCCAACATTCAGAAGTAAAGGGAGGAGAATCTCAAGTTTGAGACAAGACTATACTGCATAGCTAAGATTATCTCAAAAAACACAAAGACTGGGGTTGTGGTAGAGCCCTTTCCCAGCATGCTTACATCCTAGTTTTCAATCTCTAACACTGGAAAAATAAGAACTGCAAGAACACAGTCAGGGACTGCTGCTTTAGTGGTGAGCCCTGATTAGGAACAGACTACGTGCAGCACTCTGAACAAGCAGACACAACTGCTATAGTTTTTACTGTTCCAAGAGTCTGCAGATGATCTGAGACTGAAGATCAGTAGACAAGTGCTGGGTCAGCAATGCACAAGGCCCACAACAAAAATCACAAAAATATTTATTATATGATACAAAAAATTGGGGCTGAGGCTGGAGAGATGGTTCATCAGTCAAGAGCTCATTATTGTTCTTGCAGAAAACCCAAGTTCAACTTCCACGTCCCCAGTGTTCACATCAAGTGGTTCTTAACTGCCCCTAATTCTACCTCTAGAGGATCTCACATCCAGTGTGCACACGAGCTAGCATGCGCGTGCACACAAATATGCAATTTTTTGTTAGTTTGTTTTGAGACTGGGTCTTTGTGTGTAGCCCAAGCTGTGTCCAGGAACTCCCTATGTAGACCAGGCTGGCCCCAAACTCACAGAGATTTGCTTGTACCTGCCTTTGCCTCCCAGTACTGGGACTAAAGGTGTACCATCACACCCAGCTAAATGCATTTTTTAAAGTTAAAAATTAAAAAAGGATCTGCTGAGGGCTGGGTATAAGCTCCAACTTCTAGCCTCACCACTAGGTTAGTAAGAGTGAGAACCTGTTCACAGAAAATACAGTGCAACACAAAGAAACCAGCCCTTTGGATCCAAAAAGAAGGTAAAGGTCAGGAAAATCTTGAATACTTCAGGTGCTCTTAAAAGGTATTATTTCTTACAGAGAAAAAGCACATTTTCAGAAAACTGAAAGTAAATCAATATAGCTCCAACATATATACAGTGAGCAAGCCAAAAGACAACTCTGAGGAACAAAGAAGGGTCAGGTAGGGCACAGATTTCATGTACGCTGGGTATATAATCAGAAAGATCTGCTGAAGTCTGGGGAAATGAACCCAATGAAGAAAACACCATGGGCTTAGAGAAAGCTCAAAGCAGCTGATTCTTCACCAGGATCTGAGACTGAGTAATTTGTAGACTATTACAGCAGTAGCAATAAAGAGATATGCCGTTCACTGTGTACCAGACAGTGTTCTAAGACTTTATCATATGTGAATTCATTTATTCCTTAGAACCACCCTACAGAGTGGGTACCACACTGATCTCCATTTTACAGATGAGGGCACTAAAGTACAAGTGCAAGAACTCACCCTTGGGATGGAAGCAGTGTTGTCAGAGCCAACGTTCAAATAGTGTTAAGGAAGACCTCTAGCCACAAAGAAAAGACAACCAAAAACATACAGGTGGAAGGTGGCAAACTCAGGGAATGAAATGTTTCTTAAGACTAAACATAATGTCACCAGCTGTACTAAAGTTAACCTCTATTCTTCTACAGGCATGAAGGTTTTAAGTAGGGAATGACATGACTAGGCATGTCCTGTGGAGAGAGATGAGTCAGGCGTCAACTGTTCAGAGTACATCTACAGGAAGAAGACAGCACAGCAGGCTCTAAAGAACAGAGTTACTAGAAGAATTCAGATTTGAGAACACCAACAAAGTCACACATGAAAGTTTTCTCTCCCCCACCCCAACATGGATGAATGAAGAGATATAGAAGGTGAGAAAGTTCAGAAAGACCACAAAGTTCCTAACTCAAGAACTCAGGTAAGCAATAAACCAGTTTAGCATACAGAAGGATGCAAAGAAGTGTGTTTTGACTCGACATATTGGGGCACATTAACAATTCTGGAAGACACAATGAATAGGTAGTTAGGAAGCAAGTCTGGGGTCAACAGGAACAGGAGCAACAGATGCATTTAGGAGTTACTAAGACACACGTAAATTTTTTTTTTTTAATTGAGGGCTAGAGAGGCAGCCCTCAATTACTGCTCTTCCAAAGGGCCTGGATTCAGTATCCAGGACCCACATGGCTGCTCACAACTTCTGATCTCTACCAGCACCAGGCATGCACACACAGACTGAACACACATACATGTAGGCAGAATACTCATACACATAAAACGAAATAAACCTTTGAAAAACCCACTCAATACCAAAGTTAAGAACATATCAAAAGGTTGGGCAGTGGTGGCACACGCCTTTAATCCCAGTACTCAGGAGGCAGAGGCAGGAGGATATGAGAGCTGGAGGCCAGCCAGGTCTACAGAGCAAGTTCCAGGACAGCCAGGACTACACAGAGAAACCCTGCTCAAAAAAAATAAATAAAAAAAAAAAAAATCAAAAGATAATATACAAAACAAAGAACCTACCAATAAAGTGAATAGATAAGTAATGAGATGACAGAAAGATCACAGAAAATAAAGGGGATTTTAAGTGGGTAGCCAACAGTGTCAATTGCTGAGTTGTATGAGGCTGTCAAATGCCACTGAAATGAGCATGAGAAATTACTGGGGAAGACAGGCATGGTGGCCACACTTTTAATCCCAGCATTCAGTATGCAGAGACAGAAGGATCTCTCTCATTTGAGGCCACCTGGTCTACATAGTGAGTTCCAGAACAACCAAGGCTATGTAGAGAGACCCTGTCTCACAAGAAGAATAAAACAAAAAATTACTGGGGGTAAAAACATGATCACTGGTAACTTTTGCCAAAGTAATTAGAACAGTAAGAAGTTGCCTTCAACGTCAAGACAGGAGGAATGAGGGTGTGCAGACTGTGAAGAGGAGCACTCACGGCTAATGGAGAGTCCGTATTGCAGCCTGGATATCAACTCATTGAGTCTTCTTGGTTCTGCCCTCGATCTTTCTTTTTTTAAGATATTTTATTTTATGGTTATGAATGTTTTGCCTGTATATATGTGCATGCAAGAGAGACTGCAGAGTCCTGAAGAGGATATTATATCCCCTGAAATAGTTACAGATGGTTGCTAGCTGCCATGTAGGTGCTGAGAATAGAACCTGAGTCCCCTGAAAGAACACCAAGTGCTCGTAATTGCTGTCTCTCTAGCCCACTCCTTTAATAAGTCACCAAGTATGGAGAGAGAGCAGGTGAAGCCCAGTCATCCAACCACTACATGACAGGAGTATCCCTTCCTCCTACTTGTGACAACCAAGTGTTTCCAGCCCTTGTTAAATGTCTGCTAAGGGGGAAGACTACTCCTGGCTGAGAAACACTGAGTTAAGTAAGATGGGATCATAGAAAGCAAGTTCTGGAGGACAGACCAGGACCATTGGTACAAATGACAACCTGGGGTCAATCCCAGAAACCCACATGGTAGAAAGACAGAGCCAACTCCTACAAATTGTCCCCTGGCCTTCACACTTGCTGTAGCATGCATGGGTGTGAACAAATGTACAAAATACACAATTAAAAGTAATAAATAAAATAAAGAGAATTTTTTAAATTACCTTTATATCAGGGTCTGAGAGCTGGTTCTTCAACAACTCTAAGTCATTTGTTTCACCCTTAACAAAGAGAAGAAATTAAAGTACAAGTACTATGGTTTCCTTTAAATATCAACAGAATTTTTATTATGCCTTGATATCTCATGAAATTGCAAAAGGACCTGTGGAACTTCTACACGTCACTCACAGTAATAAAGTAAGGACTACACAACTTCTAAGAATTCTTATTTAAGGCAGTCCTGGTCATTTTATATACCCATAATCCCAACTATTCAGAAAACAAGATCAAGGCCACCGACTGGGCAACCCCATCTCAACTATAAAAAGTGAAAACACAAGGGCTGCAGCTCCAGCTCAGGGGTGGAGGGCTTATCCTAGGTTCAATCCCTAACACTGGAAAGAACAACAACCAGAACAACAAAGAACTTGCTGAGTCAGAAGTCTAGGACAAGGGAGAGTTAATGGCTACACCATGGTACAGACAACTTTGACTACAGCAGATACTAACGAGAATTCTGTAAGTACGAGATTAAAAAAAACATTGTGATGATATGTCAGCAAGAATTAAGATACCATCTATTCATATGCATAGGTGGGAATTATAAGACACAATCATTTATGTTTTATCTTTAGTGATGAGACAGTGGTTCTAGAGAAACCACTTAGCCAACATAAAACATAAAAAGGACCTGTGGCAGAGATAGAGGCAGGTGGATCTCTGTGAGTTCAAGGCCAGCTTTGTGTACAAAGCAGTTCTGAGCCAACCAGAGCTATACGGTAAGACCCAGTCTCAAAGGGATAAAAAAATTATTTAATGGGATTATGTAATTCCAGGCTTGAGGCAAGAAGACTGGAGTTAGATATCAGCCAGCCCTACACAGCAAGACTGTCTCAAAAAAAAAAAAAAAAAAAAAAAAAGTAGGAGCTGGAGAGATGGTTCAGCAGTTAAAAGCACTGGCTGCTCTTCCAGAGGACCTGGATTCAGTTCCCAGCACCCATATGGCAGCTCACAACTGTCTATATATAACTCCTGTTCCAGGGGATCCAACACCCTCACACTGACAAACGTGCAGGCAAAACACCAATGTACATAAAATACAAATAAATAATTTAAAAAAAATAAATAAGTAAACAAACAAAAATTGTTCTATTTTAATTTTAACTTTAGCACTTGTTCAAGTTTTCAAAATGTACTATATACAGCACTCTAAGACATAAAACCTCAGCAAAATCATTTTGAATACTTTTAAACTTACAATATTGTGCATATCACTAAATATTCTATTTCAATACGATATCTAAAAATATTTCCCTCCCTCCATTCCCCCATCTTTTTAGACCAGCAATTCTCAACCTATGGATCACAGCCCCGTCAGGGACCAAATGACCTTTTCACAGGGGTCACCTAAGATCCTCAGAAAACAGATACATTATTATTTTTAACAGTAGCAAAATTACAGTTATGAAGTAGCAAAGAAAATAATTTTATGGTTGGGGATCACTACAACATGAGGAATTGTATTAAGGGGTCATAGCATTAGGAAGGTTGAGAACCACTGTTTAGAGGCTGTGTAGCCCTGGAGGGCCTCAAATTCATAAATACCCATCTGCCTCTGCCTCCAAGTGCTCACCAAGTCCAGAGTAAAAATTATTTTTAGGCTATTAAAGGAGCTCAACTGGGGAAGTGTTTTCCTGGTGAGAGCAAGGTCCCAGACCACTCTCCACCACTGAGAGCCCTAAACAAACACACACACACACACACACACACACACACACAGACACGCTAAAGTTCACTTTACTATGTTCCCGGTGTTTGTGGTTTTTTGGGGGGTCAGGAAGGCACTCAGGAGGAACCCAGGGTCTTGATAATCTATTCTTCAGTGTAACACCTACTGTATTCTGACTAGCCAAAGTCAACCCCACACAGTATCTCCTCATACCTTTTTGTATTTCAGTAAGACTTCTGTCACAGTTCCACCAAACCGAACAGTTTTTCTTGGGGGAGATTTGAAGAAATCACTGTCTAATGCAAGCATATCCGAAAGCCTGAAGAACCAGGAGTACCAGTTATTAAATTCATGACAGAGAATAACAGTGAACATTACTATACCAACATCATTTTATGTGATGAGGCTAAAGTTTATTAAATGGCATCCCTGTTTCCAATCTTACTCCTACCAATCCATTCTTCACTCAGAAAAACTGTCTTCTTGTGGCACTTAGAATAAGAATCCAAACTCAAACTCCTAATAGAGAAATAGCACTTGCTCAAAAAACCAGCACTTGGGAGGCCGAGGTAGAATCCAGGAGTTCTGAGCCAACATAGGCTTCATAGTGAGATTTTTAACTCAAAACTTATTTTTTATTTTTTAAGAGAAAGCGAAGGAAAAGAAATGAAAGAGACTGCAAATTCCTTCATTAATCCTGTAAGATCTCATTTAACCAAGAATTCTTGCCTAACTTTCTGATCTCAGGGTACACGCACTTGTTAAAAGCACAGTGTCCTTTCTTCCTCAAACTTGTCAAGCTGGTTCCCATTCACTTGTTACTCACTCTCTTAGAAACACTCTTCCCACATACATTCAAGGTTGAAGCTCAGATATCAGAGGCTTTCTCACCAGACCCGTGGAGTGCTGTAGTTCTCCATAGCACTAACTGATACCTGAAACCATCTTATTCATTTATCGCTGTCCCCTCCAGCTCTGCTGAGTACAAGAACATTAGTCTCTGGTTAAGCTACTGTCCCCAGTGTCTTAACACAGCAAGCCCACACTTCATAAATAATTGTCAATATTATGCTAAGTGCTTTACAGAGTTTTGCTTCACTTAAACAGAGAATCATACAAAATCTAAAGGTCAAACCTTTTACAGGGATTTTTAAATGTCTGACAAGAAGAAGACTGCTTAGATAAGACACAGCTCAACTGGGCCTGCTGCTCACTTCTGCAGAAACAACCTTGAGAATTCAATTTGTTACCACTGATAGCATGCACCCGGAAATCCAAAACCCAGGGAACGCCATCCACATCTGGACCAAAGAGGGAAGAAGAAAGACCCGGAGGACAAGCCCGAAGTCCCAAAGGGTGTCCAAGAGGGAGTGGAAGACAACGGAACAGACAGGACTGACTAATGCAGCGCAAGGGAAGGCCAGGCTCCTCCAGGAGTGGGCAGGCCCGGACCTCAGTCCTCAGCACCCCACCCCTCAGTCCTCAGCACCCCAC